CAGAAGGGTCTAGAGAGTCCCAGTCCAGTCCAGCAAGTACCACAGGGGGACTGTGAGCACCAAGGGCCGATGGCAAAGGGCAGACCAACGAATTTTTGAAATATAAATCAAGAGGCAGCGCCCAGCCATTCATTCATTCCTGCGTGAGCCATGCGGAAGCSCTGCCACAGCGACTTGTGCAAGGAGGTCTGCAGATGAGCCCGAAGGACGCAGTGGGCAAGAGAGGAGGAGTTAGCATAGCAATAGGTTAGAGGCAGCCATAGCTGCCATAGCTGTAGTTAGTAGTGAGTATGTGTGTGTTCGAGTGTTAGAGTGATGCGTGTGGGATATCCAGGGTGATCCAGTGTATGTGAACAGTGAGATGTTTGGGCGCTGAAGTCGCCATAGCCACTTGAGAGTGAACTCGTATCTGAAGCCATATCTCTGAGTTTGAGTGGGCGCATGTCGCCAGTGTGCTGCGTTACTGTTTACATGTGTGAAAAGTGTGTTTGAAAACGAGTCTGATTGCATCCTCATTATTCGGTATGCAAAGCCTGTCCTCTTCCTCTGATTTCTGAAAGAACAGTCTGTTAGTCATTCTGTATCCCAGGACTCCATGAGGCACACTGTTAACCTTAACTATGATATTTTGTAGGTAGGGTCAGCGAGTTATGCAACCTTGATGTTCCGCTGTAGTCCGTCTCCTGCGGTGAGGTACGTGACTGTAGCACCAAAGAATTCTGCTCTCCGAGATAGCACATCAGCAACAGCATTGTACTTATCCTTTGCCAGTTTGGACTTGAAGTCTAGCTCATTTATCTGTGCAGCTCACCTAGCCAACTTTGTGGACATCTTGACCTGCGTCTTTAACCGGCATAGCGTTTCATGGTCTGAATAGACTTTGAAGTGCTATCCTATTAAACAATGCAATCAATTTCCCAATGCTTCCTTTAAACGACCACTACCTCCGAGCCTGTTTTTGCCAACCCCGATTTTCACTGCAAGCCGAGTTTTGCGGAGCCTGGGTTCCGTTGACCTTTTCTTCTGGTACTTTTTTCCCAAAAAGAAAAAAGAAAAACACAGCCAGACTTTGAAAAAAGAACAAGCTCCCGAAAAAAAAAAAGAAAAAGAACAGGCTCGGAGTTGCCGCGACGTGCTCACATCCACATGGAAAAAAAGAAAAAAAACAAACACCACTTTTGGACGTGATACCAGGTGGATACCTGCCCCGAAGTAGTAATGTGAGCATGCCCTCAATGAGGGTGTTACGGCAGGGGTGTCAGGTCTACAAGTGAAGAAAGAAGAAGAAAAAAAGTGAAACTGAACTTAGGGTGGGAAAGCGGGTTCATGTGGTCTGCAAAGTAGTTAGTGTGGGTAGGCCCTCCTCCACCAACTGTCAGCAGCCGGTGGACTGCGCCCTGCCAGCACCAAAAGAAACAAAAGAAGGAAAACAAAAACAAAAACACGGAAACCTGAAACTGGCCACAGTAGCTGTTAGGTACTTCACGACCTTCCCCTGACGTTTTGCCTCACGTTGCAGTCTCTTCTTTTTTTCTTTTTCTTTTTTTTTGCTTACAAACCGGCCCATAGGGCCCAAACTTTTTCTTTTGGCCGAGCCTCGTCCACACCCCCGAAAAATGTGGTGTGGCATATATTCCCGTGTTTCCCAACACTGAGAAAGGTAGTGGTGGTTTAAGGCAAAAACAGTTCCCTCTCGTAGGTTGATGCTGCTACCTTCTCGGACGGCAGTCGCCTAAACATAAGCTCAACATGTCTGCATCCATTTCCATCGTTTTGCTGCAGTACAACACCTATTCCGTATTGGCTCGCTTCTGTAGTCACGATAAACAGTAAGGGAGGGTCAGCTATTTTTAGAACGGGCTATTCTATCAATGACTTCTTCAAATTCTTGAATGTGGAGTGACAGTCTCTTTCCCATAACCACACTACTTTCTTCAGTAATTTACGTGGGGGAGCAACAGTCGTAGTGAAGTTTTGTACTGACTTCCAATAACAATTAGCTAGGCGGAGAAAGAACCGTAACTCTGTTAACGTTCGCGGTGCCAGTCCAGAATCGCTGCAATCTTAGCATCCTCCGGTCTAACTCAATCCTTGTCGCCTATATGACCCAAATACAACACCTGGCGCTTGGCCCATTCACACACCTAAGGTTAACAGGGACCCCCACTATTCAGCCCCAAGGTGACACTCTCAACCCTGAAAAGTGCATTGGAGATCATTTTTTCAGGTTTTTTTTTTATTGAAATTGACAAGGTCAGGTTTTGATTGATAAGCAGCAGTTCAGATATTCTGAGCATCATCGCGAATGGCAGTTACGAGGGATTTGAACCTGCGACCTGCAGAGATTCCTGTCTCTTATACACATCTAGATGTGTAGTTTTGGCCAGCCCTGAAAAATCCTGAAAATCCTGAAAACTGAAAAGAGTGAATTTTGCATGCAAACGCACTTTTGCCTTGGGGTTTAAGGCCCCTTCGATCAATTTTTTTTTTTTTTTTTTTTGCTGTTGGTCTATTTGATGTCCACTCTATGGACTGGTGACAAGTCTGGCGTAAAAGGTATGGGACGTTTGTTATAATGACCCTGAAAAAATCCTGAAAATTTAGGGCTCTGTTAACCTCTTCTCAGTTCTTTTTGTGTTTATCTTAAACTTACTCTCCTTCAACTTCCCCAGAACTTTCTGCAAATGATCCCGGTTTACTGAACGCTAATATATCATTTAAGTAGGCTCTTATGAAACGATCTAGCCACAGGCTAATATATCATTGATGCGTCTTTGGAATGTTGGAGGGGCATTTGTCAGTCCGAATGGCATCATTATAAACTTGTAGTGTCTGTACCTAGTTTGGAACGTGGTTTTGTGCTTATCTTCAGGCTGTGCCTCAATCTGGTGGTACCCCGATTTCAAGTCTATCTTCGAGAAGTATCTGCACCCTTGAAACCGGTCTATCCTTGGCAGCGGCTCAGCATTCTTCACAATGATTGCATTAAGTCCGCTATAGATGATGCAGATGTGCAGTGCACCTTCGTTCTTGGCGACAAACAGAACTGGTGAATCGTACGACGGTGTGCTAGGCTTAATCCACCCCTTCTCTATCAATCATCCCCTGTTTTCACAGGTCTTCTACCTCTCGGAGAGGCATCCAATATATCGGTCCTTTCGAAGTCCTGCTCCGGGGCTTTATCTCGATCCGGTGCTTGATCTCCCTCACAAAGTACTCCCCCTCCTCTTCGTCCTCCTCTCCTTCTTCTTCTTCTTCTTGTCCTTCTTATTCTTATTCTCCTCCTCCTCCTCCTCCTTCTTCTCCTCCTCCTCCCCTCTCCTTCGCTACCTCCGCTTCTCCTCTGTGTTCTTCTTCTCCTTCTTCTTCATTTCTCCTCCTCTCCTTCTCCTCCTGCTCATCCTCGCACTTCTTCCTTCTTCTTTCTTTTGCTTCTTCTCGTACTACCAGGTCGACAACGCGTTGAACTTGGAGAAGCTAAACACAAAGTTTTGCTCTTTAGCTGAGTGTCTGATGTTAGGGATCAGCCCGCTTTCACAACGTTTATCATATCACGGAAAGTTGTATCGTCGATAACTCCATCCACACATGGACACTGGCACTTTGTATCGTCAAATGATAGTGCGTGGACATAATCACGTTTCCCGGAGCAAGGCCGTGCATCCGTTTTCTTGCCTCTTTTGTATGTGAAGTGTTGGTGCTGATGTGTACGGCGCATGGATGATCAACAACATTCCTCTGCTCATGGGCGAATGGGAGAGGGTGTGGAAAAGGAATATAGTTGGAAGGTGTGGTTTTGATAAGGAGACACAACTGACAGGATAACTGGTTTCCTGACTGTGTTTGGCAAGGCAGGGGAGCGCTCTTCTCCATCGTTTTCGACATTGGTGGCGTCATCGATGCTGGCGGGAAGCGCCGTCAGCATGGTCCTATGTCCCACAGAGCTTGTGAAGGTGAATATTTAAAATGTAGTGTTTATCTAATACGTTAATTACCAATAAATTGATAAATCCTGAACGTGTTGAAGATGTTTCTGTTGCTGTGGCTGTTTGGCAAAAGCTGCAAAAACCTTTCGGATATGATGTGATCTGCAGGAGAGGGAAGGCATTTTTTTCTTGCTTTCCTGGGACTTCAAAATTTGCATCAAGTGGGCATATATCGTGTATTGTTGTTTCGACCTGAAACGTGTAATGTAAGGATGATTAGTGCCAGGGCTGCAAAGGGAGGAAGGGAATGGGTTCAGACTCTGAGGGTGGCAGGGATGGGATGCATACAGTGGGTCAGTTGCCCTGGAAGGTTCCACCAGTACCTCTCCCTGCTTGAAGAATTCGTCGCGGCCGTTAACGCGCCGCGTCGTGCGGGGTACCCACCGGCGTGCAACCCGTAGTCCCCAAAAAACGGTATCCAAAAAAAAAAAAAAAAAAAAAAAAAAAAAA